AACACTATGTTTATAGCAGCACTATTTACAATAGCTAAGCTATGGAAACGACCCAAATGCCCAAAAATAGATGACTGGATGAAGATGTGGTACATATACACAATGGAATATCACTCAGCAATCAAAAAAGATAAACTCATGCAATTTCCAGCAACATGGATGGAGCTGGGAAAGGTACATGCCCAGTGAAATAAGCCAGAAAGAAAAAGAAAAATACCAGATGGTCTCACTCATAGCAGGAATTTAGAAAATCTAAATAAGAGACCAGGAAAAAGACTAATTATAATAAAGTAAAAATCAATATCAACAAGCAACTATAAATCAGAGACACTCTATGGGGGGTTGAGAGGGGAGGGAGAGGAGGGATTAAGGTCAAAATAAGGGGGGTGGGAATTGTATGGGGAATATAACCAAGATGAAAATGCATGCATTGTGTAAAAATGAAAAATGATGTAAAAAATATGGGATGGAATAAAATAAAAAAAAAGAAATATAAAAAAAATAAAATTAAAAACAAAAGTAACGGGGCCTCCCCAGTGGCGCAGCGGTTGAGCGCTGGGTTGCGAAGCTGCCCACAGCCTCTGCAGTGCCGGTTCGATCCCCAGCTGCTCTCCGGCCACTGGAGGAGGGTCCTGCATGGCATGCAGACCTCTCCTGCCGCCCGCTGCTCCCCTCAGCAGTGTACTTCGGTCCTTCTGCCTGCTCTGCCCCCCCGCTCTGGCTCTGGTGAATTCTCTTACCCTCCCGTGCTTCTGAGTGTACCCAGTGCTTGTATAAATAAACAAACAAACAAATAAATAAATACATCTCTAAAAAATAAGAATAGCCGGTTGTCCAAAGGTTAGCGAGTGCTACAGGCCTGCCAGGGGCTTGCTCTGTGACCTCGGGAAAGACTCTGCCATCTCTGGGCCTGAGACTCCTCAGCTAAACAAGAAGAGCTAAGCAACTAGTCCCCAGAGAGGCTCCGCTGGGCTCCCCTCCAATGGGATGGTGTTGGGAGAACCCTCATGTGCAGCACTGACGGCAGAAGCTACTCAGCCATAAAAAATGGTGAAATCCTGGGGCCTCCCCGGTGGCGCAGCGGTTGAGCGCTGGGTTGCGAAGCTGCCCGCAGCCTCTGCGGCGCCGGTTCGATTCCCGGCTGCTCCCCGGCCACCAGAGGAGGGTCCCACATGGTGCGCAGACCTCTCCTGCCACCCGCTGCTCCCCTCAGCAGTGTACTTCGGTCCTTCTGCCTGCTCTGCTCCCTGCTCTGGCTCTGGTGAATTCTCTCACCCTCCCGCGCTTCTGACTGTACCCAGTGCATGTATAAACGAAACAAACGAACAAATAAATAAATAAATAAAAAAAACATGCCTCTATAAAAAAAAAAAAAAAAAAAAAAAAAAAATGGTGAAATCCTGCCATTTGCAACATGGGTGGAACTAGAGGGTGTTATATTTAGTGAAATAAATCAGATGGCAAAAGACCAAAAAAAAAAAGATAGAGGCTAGCAATGTGGGTGAAAAAAAAAATCCAGCCATCAATGCTGTGTTTACAAAAGACCCATTTAAAACTGAAAGACAAAAACAAACTAAAAATTAATAGGCTGGATGAAAGGCCATATATTCCAATAACTCAAAAATTAAATCAGGAAACTGCTGTTCTCATATCCAGTAAACTAGACTTTCAAAAAGGTAGTCAGAAAAACAAACAAGGATATAAATGATACATCATTAATTTTAAAATAAATATCCAGGCATAAAGATGGAAACATAGGAACACCTAGTTAAATTAAAGCAACTATTGACAGATCTAAAACAACACATCAAGAAAAATACAATCAAAGCTAGAGACTTCACCACACCATTGGCACAAAGGGATAGATCATCCAGACAGAAAATTAACAAGGAAATAGGGCCTTCAATGAAGTGGTTAGAACAGATGGATTTACTGGACATTTATAAAACTTTCCATCCCAAAGGCAATGAATACACATTCTTCCCTAGTGCACATGAAATATTCTGAAGAATTTATCATATACTAGGAAATAAAACAAGTCTCAGAGAATATAAGAAAATAGATTATATTAAGCATCTTCACAGATCACAATGCTATAAAGCTAGATATCAACCATAAAAAGAATCCTGGAACAACCCAAAACATGTGGAGACTAAATAAAATGCTCTTCATCAACCCTTAGGGCAATGAAGAAATCAAAGAAGAGATCACAAAATATCTAGACGAATAAAAATGGAGAGGCAAGCTATTAGGTCCTATGGGATGCTTTAAAAGCAGTACTATGTGGGCTGTTTAAAGCAATACAGGCCCACAATAAAAAAAAAAAGAGAGAAAGACCTCAAATTTACAACCTAACTCTGCAGCTGAAAAAATAGAAAAAGAACAAAAGCATCCAAAAACAAAAGACTAAAAATTTTAGCAGAAATAAATAAAATAGAAAAAAAGACAGATCAGTGATAACAAGTTGGTTCTTTGAAAATAATAAACAAAATCGACAAGCCATAAGCTAGTTATGAAGAGAGAAAACCCAATAGAATCAGAAATGAAATGAAAGAGGTGAACTTAGGGCCTCCCCGGTGGCGCAGCGGTTGAGCGCTGGGTTGCGAAGCTGCCCGCGGCCTCTGTGGCGCCGGTTCGATCCCCGGCTGCTCCCCAACCACCGGAGGAGGGTCCCACATGGCGCGCAGACCTCTCCTGCCGCCCGCTGCTCCCCTCAGCAGTGTACTTCGGTCCTTCTGCCTGCTCTGCTCCCTGCTCTGGCTCTGGTGAATTCTCTCACTGTCCGGCGCTTCTGACTGTACCCAGTGCTTGTATAAACAAGAAAACAAACAAACAAATAAATAAATAAATAAAGCATGCCTCTATAAAAAAAAAAAAAAAAGAAAGAGGTGAACTTACAATAGATACTGCAGAAATACACAGCATCATAAGAACTTACTATAAAAGTTTCCATGCAAACAAATTGGACTCGAAGAAATAGACACATTTTTAGACTCATGCAACCTCCCAAGATTGAAACAAGATGAAATAGACAGCTTAAAAAGTGGGATCACAGCTGCTGAAATTGAAAGAGAAATAAAAACTCTTCTCAGGAAACTTTGACCTGTATTTTTAGGTGAAATGTTTGGGCACTTAAGGCAGGCCTGTGCTGATAAAATCTGTATCTCTTTAAGACAATCATTTGTTTGTAACGTGAACTGAATTCTAATCTGTTCTATTTTGTCTAAGAATTTCTAGGTCCAAATTATAAGTGAAAGTAAATTTTTCTCCAGTTCCACTGTAAACATGAATAACTGGAATATTCTCTTCACAGGGATCCTTGCTTCCTCAGCAGTACATTCCTCATACAGCCTCCCGAGTGATCTTCAAAATATAAATTATATCATATTGCTTCCTTCCTTACAAATCTCCAGTGGCTTCCCATTTCAAATTACCACAGGTCTTAACTCCCAGTATCAGCATCCTCACCACAGTCCTGCCAAAATTTGTTCCATCTCAGGTTATTTGCATGTTTTTTTGACTTGAATTCTCTTCCACAAGATTTTCATGACTAGTTCTTCTTGACATTCATCTCTCAGTTCATATGCCATGACCTCAGTGAAGGACTGCCTTTATCCATTCATCCATGGCTATCAACTTAAGTAAAGTTGCTAAAGTATACCGGAATTACACTGTGGTGGGTGGGGGCTGTCTAATACGTTATTACTCCTATGGTGGCAATTCATGGGCATTTGCTAGAAATGCATAATTATAGGCCCCATTCCAAAGCTTTTGAATCAGAATATGCATTTGAACAAGATCCTTAGGCAAACTCTATAGAGATTAAAGCTAGAAAAACACTGTTCTAACATGCAGTGGCTAATAGATTTCTCCTTTTTATGTAAGTGATCATTATATAATAATTAACCCAATTAACAAGTCTTAATAGTGATTTATATCTAGGTACACGAATTTTATTGAATGCCAACTAGTTAGAACATAGCAGGTTATATTCATGCTCCTTTACAGCAATCTTTCTCAAATACTTGATTTAATACTTTTCCTTCGGAATGTATAGCATTCTATTGAGAACATAATTAGATGTATTCATTCCTTATGACTGTATTACTTCAGCAGTTTAAGAATTTTTAGTTTTGGACTAGCGTGCACTCCCACCAGCAGTGTAGGAGAGTTCCTTTTTCACCATATCCTCACCAACACTTGTTGCTAGTTTAATTATGTGCCATTCTTACTGGTGTAAGGTGGTATCTCATTGTGGTTTTGATTTACATTTCCCTGATTATGAGGGATGTTGAACATTTTTTCTGGAGGGGGAAGGACAGGGATCAAAACTATGCTGGATGGGCCTCCCCTGGTGGCAGAGCGGGTTGAGTGCGGCGCCTTGAAGCTGTCTGCAGCCTCTGCAGCGCTGGTTCGATCCCACCAGCCAGTGAAGGTCCCACATGGCGTGGCAGACCTCTCCTGTCTCGCCCACTGCTCCCCTCAGCAGTGTATTTCCTCAGTCTGCCTGTTCTGTTCCCTGCTCTGTCTCTGGTGAATCCTCTCGGCCTCCTGCACATCTGGCCTGTACCCCGGTTCTTGTATAAAAAAATAAATAAATCTTTAAAAAAAAAAAACTATGGTGGGAGGAGCACAAGGGACCAAGGGGATAGTGCATGGGTGAACTGGTGGTGGAAATTTTATGGGGACTACACCTGATGTAAAATATATACAAATAAATAAATTAAAGAATTTTTAATTTTGTCTGTAATACTAAATCTAAAATCTTCAGATGGACACCTTTTTAGCATTCTGTCATGATTTTAACAAATATCGTGCATTTTTGAGGAAGAATCATGCCATGGTCATCATAGTTGTTTAAATTCCTAGCTCATATTGTTGTTAAAGTAGACAATTCAATTGAAGGCTAAATTGCCTATAAGCCATTTTAAGTGAAAAGTCTTTCAATAAAGAGTAAACATTAATTACAAGACAAGTCTAAATAAACTCATTAAACTTTGAAATGCAATAAATGCTTTTTATTATATGCTCATTTCAATGAGTAACATTTAGAAATAATAATCCCACATAACAGTGACAATTTTATTTTGCAGTGTGTACATCATTTACAGCCACATAACACACAATTTTAGATATTCCAAATTTAATACTCTGAAGTTAAGAAAGATAAAAAATTTATTCTCCAGAAACTGATTCTTATCTGGTGCAAAAACAGAAAGGTGAACATTATTTGAAACACAAAGCCACAATATAGCATGAAGTAAAATTACATTTTAATTATGTTGAACAGCTGAGTGTAAACATGAAGCAACTAAAACTTAAAAGTACACATCATATGCATTACATTTAAGAACAAGATTTTCAATAAATTTCCCTAAACCTGCTTTTTATATTAAGCGCCATTTTGATATGCAGCATGCTAACACAAAGCGTTGTTTAAAGGGATGCATATTTTAAATTTATACACTGTAAACTGAATATCCACCTCCAAAGTCTATTGGCAGCATAATTGTTTCATTAATACTGCATAAATACTGCCATACTGAAAAATGCATGTTAATAAAATGGTATATAGATTTTTAAAATCAAAAATTTCAATAATGGCATAAAATTGCACCTTTAAACATTAGAACAAGTAAGATCAGAACAGTCATACTTGCTAAGACTGTCCTAAAAAAAAAAACAACTCTCTAAACATTATATTTAAGAAAACTGTGTTCTCTCAATTTAAATTTTAGATCATTAAGAAATATAGTGCTAACTTAGTTTGCAACAGTATTGTTGCATCCATTTTAGAAAGCCATATTTGAATCAAAATATCTGTTTTGTTATATATGCCATACTGAAAAACAATCAACTTGAACATCAGAAAAAAAGGGAACTTTAATCCACATACTTCACCTTAGACTTTAGCACAGAATGTTATATTTTAAACATCCTATCCTGTGATAAAATCTTAGCAGCTCTGAATTTTTTAATAGCACTGAATTAGTCTAACGTGTTTTCCAGTGAAATTTATTTTAATGAATACACAAAATTTTTTCCATTTATGTAATTTAATTTCCAGGTACCATACAAAAGGCTCAATGACTGGTAAATGTCTGCTTTTAATTTCCTCACTCTGTTCCTAAAATTGCATAAAAGTGAGGCTTGCTTGCCATAGCAAAGCATTGATAAACTCCTCAATTATGTATGCTCTTTTCAGAAACATATGTCCCTAATATGATTAGCCAAATAAAGTAGTTGTCTTTGCCTTTTCTTTCTTAAGTTTAATTATGCATATAATACTATTAAATATACATGTTTTTCCACAACCATTCTATGGTTCTTAAATTCTTTAAGTATTTTCAAACAGCTACATCCCCTGTCAATTCAAATATTTAAGATCTTTAATACAAATAGTGTAAAGTTATGATTTAATATCAAGCTTTGTAACCAGATGAAATAGTTTGTGCAATTTTCCTCCCAACTACCAAATTTGATATCAAAATATCAAATTTTCAAAATAGCTTTTCTTTATAGTGATCTTATTACAGAAGAGCCTCTTTGTGGTGCCTCATAATATGCTGATTTTTTTCTGATGGTCTTCGGAATCCCTTCTTGCAGAATTCACACCTGTGTGGGTAGTCTTTTGTATGTATTGATATCACATGTCGTTTAAAGCCAGATGCATCTGTAGTGCTATATTCACAATACTCACATTGGTAAATCTTCCTTCCAGTATGGGTCTTCATATGCTTTTTGAGCTCATTTTGTTGTCTGAACCCTCTCTTGCATCTTTTACACTTCAATGTCTGATCCTTAGTATGAACTGAAAGGATATGACCACTAAGAATAAATGGATCTGATGTTTTAAAGTCACAGTGTCTACACTGATGAATCTTCCTACCCTTATGGATATCACTATGCTTTTTGAGCTCAGAAGGACGATGGAAACCTTTATCGCAAACCTCACATTTGTGAGGAAAATCCTTAGTATGGACAGATATGATGTGCCGCTTAAGGTCACTTGAATTGGTGCTCTTATGGTCACAATGAGGACACTGGTGTGTCTTATGTCCTTGAAACAAATCCAGATGACGCTGAAGCTCCCTCTCATCACCAAATGCCTGGGGGCAATGCTCACATTTATACGGCAAATTGCTACCATGCTTAGACTTAATATGAGTTTTCAGATTTGACTGATCTGCACACCTGAAGATACAATACTGACACTGATATGGCTTTTCACCAGTATGGGTTCTCATATGCTTTTTGAGTTCAGAAGGATGTCGAAAGCCCTTCCCACACTCAACACAAACATGAGGAAAATTCTTGCTGTGAACAGCCAGTAAATGTCTGTTTAACAGTCCTTGTTCTGCAGTTTCATAGTCACAGTATTTGCACTTGTGTATCTTCGGCTCCTTGTCTCTTAGTATAAGCTTATTTGAACTCAGTGGACTAGCCTCTCTGTATCTTCGTGTGTATTCTGTAAATTCATGGGTTTTGTCAACTTTGTTTATAAGCTTATGGCTTTCTAAGTGGTTATGAAAACTCACTTTCTTGTTAGTTGTAAAGTCACAATCTGTACACTGATATTTTTTTCCATCAAATGATCAGGATGATTCTTCATGTGTCTTTTCAAGAATCCCCTGGATTTAAACTTTTTTGTGCAAATATGGCAAGGATATACTGTCAGGGGCTGTCCATCAGGACCTATTATAACAGCTAGATAAAAAAAAAAGAAGTTGTGATATTTGGCCAAACTATTTTTTACAACAAAGATGCCATAAAAATTAGCTTGACATTCACTATGTGATAACTATACTAGTAGAATAAATTCCTCTAAGATAAAATGCACATTGAAAGTAAATTATGATAAATTATGATAGTTTACTAAAAAGTGATTGAGCAGCACTCTACTCAGACTATTCACACCAAAAGGCTGTATTACATAAACTTTAAAAGCTAGATATAGGTACACTTTATTGTCAAACCTGAAAGCTATCTTTAAAAACATCATTCGGGTAAAGAGCAAACAAGTATAACTTTAATTATTACTAGTCACAGAGTTTAAAAATTATTTATATAAAATAAAAGCATGTATATCAGAGTAGGACTACACTATAAACAACTGACTTTTTTCCTTTGGATACAAAAAATACCTCTGCATTTTACATCATTTTAATACTCCTAAAATAAAGTATTCGTATTTTTACCTGTTTGCCATTGCCTAGTTTCTCCTCTTCTCCTCTTCTTGGCTTTTTGTTTAAGTACTTTATTTGTATTAATGCTTTCACAAATCTGAAGGTACTGTGCTGTTGTACTACTTCTGTTTTCTAGTGTTGAATCCAAAGTATTTCCTGAAAAAAATTGATACACCGCTAAACTACACATATTTTTACTTTTTTGGTTTTGGTCAGATAAATTACTAGTGATGACATGATATTCAAGTGGCAATTGTGGTACTAAATTTCACAAAGTGTAAGTATCTCCTTTCTCTCCTACACTCAAACACACACACATACATACATATAAACACTTTAAATAGGATATGCCATAAAATTAACTTTATAGCTTCCAATTTATTTATCCTAAATGAGTGAATTGATAATGTGAATAAAACTTAAGATAATGAATTTTATGACTCCAAACAAAATATTGGCATCAAGTCATTTTTTCACCAATAATCCCTAAAGAAATTAAAGGGATTTAAGCAAAGAAATATGTATGTATCATGGAACCAGTATAGTCATGAGTATGTATAATGTATAACTAACAAGACAGATCTCCTATATATATGTTTAGAATAGTTTATTCAATGTGAAAAGTACTAAGATTGATTTTAAGGGCAATTTCCCACAATTTCAGTGGGATTTAGTGTATACAAAATAAAATACTAATAAAATCTCAATTATTAGAAATATGTTGCTAGTCAATTTAGTTTAAACATGTAGTACTACAAAACTGCTTACTATTATTTATGTCTGTCATCAATTCCTCTGAAGTTAAGATAAATGAATGCATTTAAGTTTAGTGTCAAATACCTCTTAAAGATAGAAACAAAACACTTGGCCACTTTATCATAAGAAAAAGTCTCCTTCCTAAGGAAAAAAAAAACTATCAACTGTGGAATGACACTATTTGGATATATTAAAAGTAGAAAGAAAAAAATTAAACTAACACATGAGTTTTTAGTAACAGTTATATAAATCTACTGGTTATCCAAGAAAATAGGCCTGTCCAAAGAAGATACTGATTGATATCATTAATAAATTTTACTTTTCAGTAAAAACAATTTCTATTTTATTTTATTCCACAGTCACATTTTAAAGCCCATGCTGTTAAAGTGCCTGATTTGTATCTTGAGATGAGTTGAAAATGAATAGCATTTGTAGAATAACACACATTGTTTGTATATAAATTAATCATTACTCCAAAGGGGCAAACTCTTGTAAAACTAAGTAGATTAGATATGATAAGGCAAATAACCGTTCAACAAATGTATTTGTACACACAAACTAATAACTCTTCATTACCAAGCAATACATAAAACCAGCTATTTAAGTTAAATCTCATATCTAATGTCTCTCACCTGATCCTTGGCAATCTTCATACCTACGGGAAACTCTTCTTTCGTCTCCTAAAAATAAAGACTAATTAAAACTGATATACTGAGAATAATGATTACAAGTGGATCACATCATAATCTAGAAAACCTTACTTTGACCACCATACCTTGGGTTAATTTTTTTGTTCCATTCTTCTACTCCCAAAGATTAGATACTAATTTCAGATACTAAAAATAAGGGCTGCTGTCAGCATCTTTAAAACTCAATACCTCGAATAATCTTACTTTTAAAATAAAAACTGGATAGATATTTCTGCAGAGTAACCTCAAATTTGAAAATGCTCTATAAATGACTGTTGAATGAATGAACCTTTGGAAAAACCAAGTTAAGATAAATTAATGCATATGAACACCAAACTTTTTCAAAATGAAGAGTACACCTGGACTACCTTGTAAATTAAATAGGAATGAAATAAAACAGACAGAAAGGAAAAAAAATAACTATATAAATTTACCTTCCATTAAGTACTTTCTAGAAGAGCACACCTGGATTTTTGTTCCTTTTCAAAATCCCAAAATCTTATTATTTGTTGTGCTAATACATGAAATAAACTTTTCCAAAAAGGGAAGGATCTATTTTCAAGGTATATTCCTATTTTAGAAAAATAAAACTTTTTAATGGCACTCATTTATACAGATAGGATTTTAAAATAAGTCCTACTGAAAAACAATGCCTTAAGCAAGGTTCATTTAAATCACACAAGATATGTGGTAGAAAAATAATGTACGTAAATAGAGATGAATCAGTCCATAGCAAAACATTCTATAGTATTAGCCAACTCATGGGGGGGCATTAGCACAGCATATTTAATGAAGTAAAGGCTGATCAAATAGATAGGTTATGTAACTTATCAGGTGAAAAAATTCCAGTGTCCTACCATATGCCGCAGCCCAGACAACAGGGACAACTGTTTTATTAACATCAGAGTCCTCAAGCTGAGTCTCAGGGAGAGAAGTTCCTTCCTCTTCCCCTACAATGACTTCCATGTAAACTTCATCTGCTATTTCAGCGCAACCTAAATTTTAGAAATAATTGCTTGTTTATAACCCCAAATATTTAATAAATGGGTAAAAAATTCCAAACAAATTAAACCTTTCAACTCTCAAGATTTTAATTTGGTGAAGTTTTAAAAATACATTAGGCACTTTTGGAGGCTAGTGCCACTAGAAGATAATATTTTACCAAAATCTTTATTCTCTTCTTAATACCTAGTCCTATCAAAATGGATTTTGATTATAGAAAACATGTATGTCTGAAGTATACTGACTGATCTTACAGTTCATTGGGCATTATAAATTTATAAAAAGGGTTGCATTCCATAATTCTGCCTGATAGTACTTTGGAACTCAGAAAGCGTTTTCCATAGCATCAATACTAGAAAGTGGTCCATGCTATCTCACATATTGTAACTTAAATGCAGAACTGTACATGCATGAAAAAGTTAAAAATACTAGTAATTGAACAAAAAATATAATTGAAACCGTGTATGTGTGTGTGTGTGTGTGTATAAACATGCACATTCACATACACAAATACAGGCACACATCAAAGATATTATGGGCTTAGCTCCAGATCACCGAAGTATAGTAATTGTCACAATAAAGTGAGTCACATAATTTTTTTTTTTGTTTCCCGGTGTATGTAAGTTGTTTATATTACAGTCTATTAAGTGTGCAGTAGTGCTATTCCTAAAGAAAACAATGTACATACTTAATTAAATGTGACACAGAAACATGAAGTAAACACATACTGTTGGGAAAAATGGTGCCAATAGACTTGTTCAAAGCAGGGTTGTCACAAACCTTCAATTTGTAAAAAACGCAGTATCTTGCAAAGCGCAATGAAGTACAATAAAACAAAGCGTGCCTGTATATATATCTATATCTATATCCTTGTGTAGATATAAATATATAGATAAATAAAATGGTGGTGTTCAAAAATATGTGGAACACCCTTCAAGAGGCAGGATGTTAAGAGACTACTGAGGAAAAAAGCATTGAGTGAGACTCATTTTAAAAAGTAAAGTTTTGGTGTGAAAAAATTAAACCTAAACTGTCATTTAGTATATTTTATATGAAATAATCTGTTTAGAGTTAAACTGTCAATAGAAAACAGGTTCAAATTCATGCTTTTCCTATGTGTCATACACTAGGATCGTTTATAGAAGAAATGTGGAACTAATGTGGGAAAAAAGTGTTCCTCTTCTAAGCTTCCCTTCTCTCCATTAACCAGAAAGAGTAACTGGTCTAAGTTTTCCATATTCCCATGGAATTCTGGCATCAGCGAACCTAAAATTCAGTCTCCCACCTTCAATGGTGCCCTTTCCTGACCAATGAGTTAAAAAAAAAAAAGATTACGTTTAATCATTACACATAAAAACTGAATATAGTGTATTATGATCACCACTAAAAGTCTAATATCATCCTTCACCTTCTTTTACCTGATTTACCCACCCCCTTCCCTACAGCTAATTTGTTCATGTACTCTAAAAGTTTATTTTTCTTTTATTTGGTTCATTCATTTTGTTTCTTTATGCATCACATGAGGGAAATCATTCAGTATTTGTCTTTCTTGATCTGACTTGTTTAAGCATAATGTCCTTTTATAACATTCATGTTATTAAAATAGCAGTTTTCTATCTTTTTAAACAAAATAGATGAGCAATATTCCATTGTGTATAGACCCCCCATCATATTTATCCAATCTTCTGTCAATTAGATTCTTTTCCTCTCCAACCAAATGCTCTCAACTCAATTATTTTGGTATTTTCAGCTGTGGTATATTATTCATGCTTGTGACTGGTGCTCCCCATGTCCTCTAGGGGAGGAAACTGAGGAGTGGGGCTCAAGCACAGTACAGGTAAGGCTGAATATTGTCAAGGTAATGCATTGAAGTGGGGTCTGTTGCCCTTTTAGGAAAAAAACAGTATTTGTCTGAATATGGCAAGAACTGTAAGTCTCAAGGAAGGGCTGTATTCTTACACTGTGAAGAGTAGAAAGTAAGTAGAGAATAAAATTTCTTCATAAGGAAATGGGTAGAATGGCAAGAAAGGAAATCTCAGGAGGTATTTTTTTTTTTTTTAATTCTCTGGTACTCGGTCCCAAGGATCTTAAAAACAGCAACTACTTGGAGATCATGAATATAATGAGATTTTGTCAGCATGATTTTAAAGAATACTTACTCTGCTTATCACTCAGTTTCAGAAAGAGAATAGTTAGTCCTTCCTGCTAACTATTTAGTACTGCTAAATTCAGAAAGAGGCCAATAATGCCTACTGCCATGGGGGGGAAAACTCTGGCAGTACAGTTAGATATATAAGAATTCAAATTCTACCTTCTTCAATTAATACTGGAATGATCTTGGGCACTTAACTTCCCTGGAAATTTTTTCATTCCATATAAAAGGGATAATACCACCTACCTTAGAGATGAATTGTGAAAATTAAATGAGATAAAAATTCCCTAAGTATTTTATGTGCTCTACTAAGGCCAGAAATTGTATGCTGCTAATCTCTATATTCCTAATATCTAAGGGATAGTATTTCATATTTTCAGAATTGAACATACATATATATATATATATGTATATATATGAAAGGTCAATAAAGACCCTTTTACAATTAATTACAGCAAAGGGTCGACTTTATTTTATTAAACCTTGTTTCTAATATAGTACTTTTATATCTGAGACTGACATTTTTAAAAGAGAATGCATGTTGGCTATTGGTAAGTCACTACAGTGTTTTGTTTTTCCCTTACTGATATCATCTTCTTCTTGAGAAGAATCTTTAACTGCCATATAAACCATCTTCTCCCGTTGTATTCGGCTCTGGTCAAGCACTCCAGTAACAGAATGTCCATTGGTGTATTCACTCTCAGTGACAATTTCGGTTCCCCCTTAAAAATTGAAACACATAAAAATAGAGAAGCATCATGGAATAATTCCCTAAATTAATAAGGTGGGTATATAAGAAATATCTTCCTTGAGAATTACTATTACCAAGAAAATGTTCGAATATAAATTTTAAGTGTCAAAGAATTTTCTTATAAATTATAACTTAAATTTTCAGTCACTACTCAGAAATTAAAATAAATGCGAACACATATATCTCACTTATTTGACAAGCACTATATAAGTCTTACATGTAATTACTCACTTGGTCTTCACAACAGCTCTGAGATAACTATTATTGTGGTCATTTTATGGATGAGGAAACAGGCAGAAGGAGGTTAAGTAACTCAACAAAGTTCGCTCTCGTAAGTGACAGAACTAGGATTAAATTTACCTGTAACTTGCATTATTTTAAACATTAATTATAACTTCCTACTCTAAACCAAATCCTCTCTAATAATTTATTTTGATATTTCTAATGTAATATACTATTATGTTTGAAAGAATCTAAGAATGACATATTCTGAATTAACATTTTTCATTAATATGCATTATTTTATATTCCATCCTCAAAGAAACCTATAAAAATTTCCCATTTTGAGTATAATTTTAGAACAGCCAGAAAAGGCTAAGTTCTAATTTTTAACTATTTTAATAATAAATTGATATTAATCTTTTTACCTATTTCAACATCATCTTCAGCCTCTGCTTTAAATATATACACTTTTATTACTTCTGAACCAAATCCATCTTCTTTAACATCTTCTTGTGAACCATCACTGCCAATTTTTAATGGTGTGTTCCCCATATGATCTAATTTTTCCCCAACATCATCCACTGTAAAATATAAAGATGAAACTTAGTTTAAAAAGTATCACTGACACTGAGTGTTAAATATAAGTGCAATGTGAAATACTGCGTTAACCACCTATCCACTATATTCACTTAATGACCTATTATGCAACCATTAAAAAGTGATATACTTCATGAAAAAAGAGTATACAAGATCCACTATATAAAATGATCACAATTATATAAAAAAACCCTTCACAGGATTCAACTTATATATGAAACACAACAGATTCATTTAAATAGGAAAAGCTTAAATAACCTTCCATCAATTAACCTCAAAATAAATAAAACAAGAATATAAAAGACATAGTACTCATAAAATAAGTCATGTAAACAAAAACAATAATTACCAGATTAAATAACAGTATGTGTAAAATAATGTGAAATCTAGGATTGGAAAAAAAGAAAAAACAATAACACCACCTGAATAATTTTATCAAAAGGACTTTTTTCTTTTAAAAAATATTTATTTACATATATTTTTTACATTATCATTCATTTTTATACAATGTTTGATTTCTCCTCAGGTGTAGTCCCTGTACAATTCACACCACCAATTCACCATGAAACATTACCATAGTCCCTTGTGCTCTTTCCACCCCATTTTGATCCTTTTCCCTCCACCTCCCAGAGACATTCAAAAAGGACTTTTCAAATATCATTATAAAAATATAATCTTAGCAAACTTTTAACTTCTGTTGAATCAATGAAAGATAACTTCAAGTCAGAAATTTTGTATATTATATTTAGCAATGTTGGCATTACTTCAAAATCATACAAAAAGTTAAAGCAATAATATGAGAATATACTTACATTTTAAGTATACTTTAAAAATTTGATTCTCTGCTATCTAGCCTTTATGAATAACATTCAGTTTTATATGAATACTATGCACAGACTATGCAATGAATATCATAATAAAACTTTGTTCCTTAATTATAATATTAAATATATCCTCACAAATATTTTATATCTACCATTTTTAACATTTATCACTGTAAAAAATGAAATGCAATCTAAATCAAAATTCTGTTCTTCCTTAATGCATATATCAAGGTATATGAATTTCTTTAGGTTTGAATAAATCACAGTAACCTAGTGAAATAATAAAAACTGTTTTGATAGTTTTTATTACACTTCAGTGGTTGGAAGTGATCACAGTTCCTTCTGGGATAAACGGAATTAAAAACATAATTCACGTATGTTCAGTGAAATAAGTCAGAAGGAAAATGAAAAGTATCAGATGGTTTCACTTATAGGAGTAATCTAGGGGAACCAAATAAGAAATCAGGGTAAAAAATACCACCAATACAAAACACAGCAAAACTAAAACAGACAGACAATAATAAATCAGAGAAGTCCTGCAGGGGAGGAGGAGGGAGAGGGATAAGAGGGAGGGAGGGAGGAGCACAGGGGACTGAGGTGATGGTGCATGGGTGCATTGGTGAAGGAAATTTTATGGGGACTACACCTGGTGGGGGAAGCCAATATTGTTTAAAAATGAACAATGATGTAAAAAACGTTAAAAAAAAACTATAATTCACAAAATTAAAGCCCATGAAATGGAACACATATTTTTGCTCACTTCACAAGAGTTCTGTACATAATTTTTGTATTAAGTATTGAAATTATTGTTGCTATTCTAATTGCATTATACCTTTCCTTAAGTACCATTTAACATCTTCATTATTTTATACTTAGATTAGATTTCGCATAACAAACCATTTGGAAACATATTGAGTAACTAAGCTTGTTCTGTATTTTATATTCATAGAAGATGATAGCTATTAAAGAAGTTAGTGTATAGTTTTAAGAAATATATCATCAACCTCACTAAAATTTATTCTATAAACTTGGCTAAAGTACAGTATTATCAAAGACTTAATAGGTAACCAATTCAATTTAGAAATAGGCCCTCAAAGATTCTTTTTAATACAGATAGTACTCAAATTTTCCAAAATTAAAGCTTAACTTATTGATTTGTTCTAAGGTATGTACTATTCAACTCTCAGTGTTTATTCTCAACCCACATGACATTGCAGCAAGAAATAAACAGGCAATATTATGCACACCACACAATTCTACCTATTCCAAACATAACATTAAAAAAGGTGCACTGCTTGCCAACATGTCAAATTTTGCTAATTTTCAATATTCTTTCATAGCCCATTAGCACAATTTAATTAAAATTTCATTTCAACAAAATTTACAATAATCCTTTTAAAAGCTAAGTAGGCTCATTACTGTACCCAATCTATGTTACATCTCCCAAATACTTTATACTTCAGTATAAAATGTACTTTATACTTTATAAACCAACCATAGTGATAGGGTCAGGCAATATTTAAGGTATCTACACTCTACAATGCTGAAGCAAAACTTAATTAACAGTTAAATTACAAACGTGTTGCACTCCCAGGTATACACACAAGAGATCTGAAAATAAACGCACAAAACATGGACAGGAATCAGCAGCTTTATTCATAATAACTAAAAAGTAGAAACAACCCAGATGTCTATCAATTGATGAATGTATAAATAAAATGTACATGCATATATTGAAATATTAATGGATTTTAAAAAAGGAATACGTATTGCACATACTACTACATGGATGAGCCTCGAAAACATTATGCTCCGTGCAGAACTTAATAAGCCTTAGGAAGATCCCAAGCAGACTCTGCCACGGTAGGAGCTGGTAGACCTCAGCAAGTCTTTGAATGGGGCGAGGAAGTATGCCCACCTCAGTAGGTTCCCACAGAACCCCATGGAACCCATCAAGCCCTGGGGAGGGTCCTGGAAGCAACCCAGACCTGGTAGGTCCTGGCAAGCAGTGGAACAGGCCCTTCCAAAAGGAGCAAATATGACATGTCTCAGGCCAGTAGAGACCAGCATAGACTTAAACAGGATTGACACTGAAAAGATCCATGCTAGATTGAACCAGAGGTGGGTGGAGAGGAATGTATGGGTTGTGATCTGGAGTAGGAAACATCAGTGGCAGGGTGGTCAGCTCAACCAGAGCCCTGGGGAGAAGATAACAGAAGTTGTGTAGAGGCATACGCCCTTGAAAGTGGGGAAAACCTAGCACAGTAGGCGTTCATCTGCACTCTCCCTTCCAACCCACTCAGATTGGTACTTTTTTTTTCTTTTTTTTTTCCAATTTTTTTAAGATTTATTTAGTTTTTATTTATACAATAGCTTGGGTACAGTCCAGAGGTGCAGGAGCATGAGAGGATTCACCAGAGACAGAGTGGGGAGCAGAACTGGCAGACGGACCAAAAGCACTGCTGAGGGGAGCAGCAGGCGCGACAGGAGAGGTCTGCTGCACCATGTGGGAATCTGCCTGGCTGGCTGGGAATCGAACCAGCGCTGCAGAGGCTGCAGATAGCTTCACAGCACTGTGCTCAACCTGATGTACCACTGGGGAGGCCCGGGACTGGTACTTTTTGAGGCATTACTATGGGCACAAGGATTGCCAAGTCTCCCAGGCCAAAAAAGAGAAGAGGGATATTGGTAATGTCACAAACATGAGCCAGTACAACCCCAAATCATCCACACCAATATCTGAATTCCTCTAAGTCCCTGCCCATACTGCTAATTCAGCAACAAGGAAATAGACCTGAGCACATAGTAAAGCCAGCAAAAGATAAAATATGTAAATAAAATGAAATAAAATAAAGATATTACAAATAATAACAACATAGGGAGACCTCAAATAACAAAAAGGTGCAGAACTATCTAACACATGGAAATACAGGACCCTCAAGAGAGTGTGACATCACAAGGTGAGAACAACTCTCCAAAACACAAACACTAAATGATGAAAGATCACATCTAACTAGTAGAGTTCAGAACTGCTATAAAAAAGAAACTCGGGTAGGAATAAACCCCAAAAGCAATTCAATTCAGCAGAGACACTATAGAGGAGGAGAATGGAATGATGTATTCAAAATACTTGAAGACAGGGCCTCCTTGGTGGTGCAAGGGGTTAAGACACAACCCATGAAGCTATCGCGAGCCACTGCAGCAAGAGTTAGATCCCCTGCCAGGGAGCTACCCACATGGCACAACAGACCTCTCCTGACTTGCCTGCTGCTCCCCTCAGCAGTGTATTTCAGTCAATCTGCCTATTCTGCTCCCCCACCCTGTCTCTAGCCTGTACCCCCCCCGCATCTCTGGCCTGTACCCCAGTTCTTGTATGCATAAATAAATCTTTAAAAACAAACAAAAAAACCCAAAATACTTGAAGACAGAAAGTTCCATCAAGAATACTACAAGACTCTCTTTCAGATATGAGAGAGAAATAAAGGTCTTCCCAGACAAACAAAATCTAAGGGAGTTTGCAAACACCAGACCTCCCTTAAAAAAGAAAAACAACACAAAAAAAATTAAATAAGGAGATAAACAGAATAGAATAAAAAAGAACAGAAAGACAAAATGCAGTTGCAAGTAACCCATATATCAATAATCCCTCTAATTGTAAAAGGACTGAACTGGCCAATCAAAAGGCAGAGTGGGAAGTTAGAGCTTAAAAACAAACAAACAAACAACAAAAAAACCCCAAACCTTCTAATTGTTTTCTCCAGGAGACCCATTAGAGCTCCAAAGATAAACATATGCTCAAAAAAAGAAGAAAATGTCTGGAAAACAATCCTCCAAACAAATAGGATGCAAAAAAGGGTGGCAGAGCCATACTTATATCAGATAAAATGAAGTTCCAATTTAAAAAGGTAACAAGAAAAAGGGATGGACATTATATAATTATTAAGGGATCAAAATATTGGGAAGACATAGCACTCACCAATATACATGAACCAAAGAAAGGAATACCAAATATATGACAACTATTAACAAACCTAAAAACAGATATTACCCTAAAAAGAGACATTACTGCAATTAGTGGTAAGGGACTTCAACAGCCTGTTTAATATCAATGAACACATCAACCAGACAGAAAATAAACAAGGAACCATAGCCTTAAATAAGTTATTAGATCAGATGGCTCTACTAGATTTTTTTTTATTTAAAGATTTATTTATTTATTTATTTATTTATTTATACAAGCACTGGGTACAGTCAGAAGCACGAGAGGGTGAGTGAGAGAATTCACCAGAGCCAGAGTAGGCAGCAGAACAGGCAGAACGATGAAATACACTGCTGAGGGGAGCAGCGGGTGCAGCAGGAGAGGTCTGTGCGCCATGTGGGACCCTCGCCGGTGGCCTGGGATCGAACCAGCGCTGCAGAGGCTGTGGGCAGCTTTACAGCCCAGCGCTCAACCGCTGCGCCACCAAGGGAGGCCCAACTAGATAGTTAAAGGGCAGTACACCCCCTCAAAAGAAGCTGAGTCCACATGGAACATTTTCCAGAATTGACAACATGCTGGGTAACAATGTAAGTGCCAGTAACTTCATGAATTTTGAAGTCATACCCAGCATCTTGTCTGATCATGATAGTATCAAACTAGAAATTTATCGTCACAAGGATGCAGGAAAAACCTGCATGGTGAAGACTGAAAACCACACTATTAAATAACTATTAGATTAATGAGGAAATCAAAGAAATTAAAAACTACCTGGAGACAGATGAAAATGAAGATGACCAACCAGAACCTGTGGAATGCAGGAAAATCAGTACCAACAGCGGAGTATATAGCAATACAGACACCTCAAAATACGGAGGATCATTAGAGAGACTATAAATGACTTTATGCTAACAAATTGAAAAATCTAGAAGAAATTGTCAAATACTTAAAAGCATATGAACTTCCAACATGGATAGAAGTGGAGAGGATAATGCTACACAAAATAAGTCAGGAGAAAAATAAAATCAGAATGGTGTCATTTATTTGTGGAATGTAGAGAACATAACAGAGGGCCAATGAAAACCAAATGAATAATAAACTCTTATCTGACCTCAAAACTCAGGCAACCAGAGGGAAAATGTGGCAGGATGGGAGTGGAGAAGGGAAAGAGCCCAATGGAAAATGGTGGAGGATGTTGGGGTACTGGTGGTGGAAAGGGTGTGAAAGTATACAGTTGCAGAGACTTGAACCTGTAACCCCCGGAACATATACAAAGATGTAAACATACTTTACCTCAATAAACACAATTGGAAAGGAAAGAAAAAAGATACCTAATGAAGGGGAGAAAATATGTGTACACCATACATCTAACATGGGGCTGATAGCCAAGATGTACAAAGAACTTATACATCTCAACAAAAACAAAACAAATACCCAGTGAAAAAAGGCAGGAGTGCTAAATAGGGACTACCCCCAAAAAGACATAGGTAGCCAACAGATACATGAAAAAAATACTCATCATCAGTTACTGTCAGGGAAATGCAAATCAAAATCACAATGATATTCCACCTCACTCCAATGACAATTGGCCCTTATCAAAAATATATAAATACATCAGAAATAACAAATGTTGGCAAGGCTGTGAAGAAAACGGAAGCCTCACACACTATTGGTGGGATAGTAGACTGGTCCAACCCCAATGGAAAACAGTATGAAGGTTTCTCAAAATATTAAAAATAGATCCACCAATTCCACTTGTAAGTATCTACTTGAAAAATACAAACTCACCAACTAAAAGGGATATATGCACTCCTATGTTCATTGCAGCAGTAGTCACAATAGTCAAATGATGGAAACAACCTAAATGCCCACTGACACAGCAGCAGATCAGGAATATTTGGTATATATGCATAATAGCGTACTACTCAACTATAAAAACGCTTTTTCATGCTTTTGCAATAACATGGATGGAACTGAGGGGTTTATGCTAAGTGAAATAAGTCAGAAGGAGAATGAACAAATATTAAATTTTACTAATATGTGGAATATAGAGAAAGAAATAAAGAAAAACAAAAAAAAAAACAAAGGAACTGACGAAACTAAACCAAAACAAATCCTAGAAATATGATTGCAGAATTGAGGCTACTAGAGGGGGAGGTAGGGTGGGAGTGAGAACAAAGGGGGGTGGGTCCCAAAGGCCTAGGATGAAGGACTATGGGTACTTTGATGGTAGGGGTAGTGTGCTAACACCACTGAGGTGGTGTGAACCTATATCCCTAAATCATATACAGTGTTGTAAATCAATGTTATCTTAATAAAGAAAAAGTAAACATTATGCTAAATGGTAAAAGACAGACAAAAAACATAGTATATGATTACATATATAGCAAATGTTCAGAATAGGCACATCTCTAAGAGACTGACATTTCATTAGTGTTTGCCTACAGGGTGTGTAGAGGAGGGTGGTAAAAGATATGGTAAAAGATATGGTATTTCTCTTAGAGGTGAATAAAAATTTGAAAATTGATTGTGGTGATGGTTATACAATTCTGTGTTGGCATTTTTAAAGAGGAGCACATCTAAAATAATTTAAGATAAATGGAAAGAATTTCCAAGATACTTAGTACAAGTGGCAGTGCCTAACCATATGCTAAAATACTTTGCTAAATTTGGCCTGAAAGTGGAAAAAACTCAGATATACCTCTCATTTTGAGAAAAATACTACATAGCTCTGTAACTCAGCTACTGATAAACTAGTTACTGGCTATTGATATGATCTCCTCATAGGAATATCTCTTAAATATTTTGAAGATCTCTCTTGGAAGAAAATCCAAGAGGACTCATTAAAAAAGTGTTTAGTGTTGGGCCTCCCCGGCGGAGTAGCGGTTGAAAGCTGGGGTTGCGAAGCTGCCCGCAGCTTCTGCAACGCTGGTTCAATCCCCGGCCACCGGGTGAGGGTCCCACATTGTGCGCAGACCTCTCCTGGCCCCCACTGCTCCCCTCAGCAGTGTACTTGTCAGTCTGCCTGCTCTGCTCTCCGCTCTGCCTCTGGTGAATTCTCTCACGCTCCCACGCTTCTGACTGTACCCAGTGCTTGTATAAATAAATAAAATAAAATGTTTAAAAAGAAAGTATTTAGTATTTTTGTATTCCCTAAAAATGCCATTTAGTATATTCCATTTACCACAGTAAAACATTGCTTACGTTTTACAGGGATTTTTTAAAATAGTTGCGGTTTATTTACTAACGGGTAGGAGTAAATAAACAGCTAATACCCAACCTAAGTCTCCCTAAAAGGTTTCTGCAGCAGTTCCAGTATTATTCATGCAATACAATGTTCTCTATAATTTTCAGTCTAATCCTATTAGACTAGAAAAACAGAAATCCTTTGCATTTGATATGTAAGGCAATGTCAAGAAAAATATTCTAAAATAAATATTTTATATATTTTAAAAAATCTTTCACAGAATCAAATCACAGAAGATATGTAAGTTGTAACCACTCACAATACATAAGATATCTAAATTTCAACTATTTAAATGCCACAATTTAGTTTGACAAGTACTCTTTTTAAAGGAATACAGAATTTATTTTGGTACAGAAAGACTATGAACATTTGCCTCACTATTTTATATAACCATAACCACAATTTTCCCCTTAATGTCAGCTTAAGATATAATTAGGGAATTGTTTCAGTAAACCACATCAATTTAAAATGAGGTAACATTTGCACAAACTAGTCTCTGAATGGTTTAAATTAGTCCCTTAAAAACAATGTGATTATTCACCTTCAAAAGTGCTTGTAAGAGAAAAAGTTAAAATGCTAGGTTTCACAATAATATTTATAAATTAAATAAATCTAATTTATTTTTAGTTTTAAACAGATACATATATATATATATATATATATAAAACATAATAATTTTATACATACTATTTAGTACTTTCCAATCATTTTTGTTATTTTAGAAAGAACAAAAGTCCTCCCTGGAAAAGTGAAGTCTTTATGTAATCTTTACTACTACTTCCAGCATGATCCCTTCAAAACTTGTAAGGAACAAATACATTTCTCCAGGCTCTATCTATAACTTATCATGAGATTTTTATTATTGTTGCTGTTTGAGGTAATCCCACCACTCACAATGAGAACAAGATATTTCTAAATTTCTACTTACTGGAACATCTTAAGAATAGCATAAAGGATCTGAAATAAGCCCATTAAAATATTTCTTCATAGAATATACACACATATTTAAATAAACAGAAAGTAACCACAGAGAGAACTCTAGAATACAACCTGAGTTTATAATTTAATTTTCATGTTTTTAATTAAAAAACAAATTACTTATTTCTTAAATTCCTAAGCAATACTGATCTGCCAACTCCAGTACTTGCCATATTAAAAAGAAACCAGTGGCTACATAAAATAATATTCTCCTTTGAAATATAAACATGTACATTAAAATTTTCTATTTAATGTTCTTGGTTGAACCATCCAAGTCTGTATTTCTATTCCAAGATATTAATAAACTGCATTATTTCACTTCATTTTGGCTGCAAATTTTCACTGAGCAAATTAAAAAAACAAGCAAATTCAAAAATCATCTCAACAACACAACTTTGAAAACAAAAATTAAAGTAAATTAACCCCATGACTGACTGAATAATTCCCCATCCCAAAAAACTTTCCAGGTTATATATAAATCAATCTCTCAAGTAATTACAGAATTTATATTTCACTTACAAGATATCATTAAGTAGTCCTCAGAAGTGCTCTTGACATCAACATCATCATCATCATCGTCATCTTCATCTTCCTCAGTTTTAATAGTAACTGTAGAACCGGGAACACCACCAGTTGTTTGAATAACAGTTTCTGTATCTGAATTTGTTACAAGAACCTCCTCTGATACCATTGTGGGAGAGTCAACTCCTGAAATGCAATCTTGGACCACATGTTCTAAGTGTCCATCAGGGCCAGTAACAAGATCAGCAACAAAAACCTGTTCAGGTACTCTAACGGTTTCTGTAATTAGCTCAGAAGCCAAAATGTGATCACCATCATCTTCCTCTAAATCCTCTTCAATGGCAACATCAGCTTCAAGTACAGCTTCAGGAACAATCACACCTTCTGTTACTACATCAGTTTCAGTGATGATATCAGGCCCATGGACAACTTCAGCTGCAAGACCATGATCGAGAGCTATCCCATCATCTGTGACAACATCAGAAACTAAAACAGCCTCAGGAACTGAAACAACAATATGGTCTCCATCGATATGCGCAGTACCAGCCATTCCAGCCACTATAATACAAACAATTATACAAAACACATTATTGTTATATTAATTAAAAGTACTATATTTAATACATCAGATGACAAAATGTTCTCAAAATAATAAATAGTCCTGGCCAAACTTATCACTAAAAAAAAAAAAACCACAATTTAGGGCCTCCCTGGTGGTGCAGGCAGTTGAGCACAGTGCTGTGAAGCTGTCCGCAACCACTGAAGTGCACGTTTGATCCCTACCGGCTGTGGAGATACCCACAAGGTGAAGCAGACCTCTCCTGTCTCGCCCACTGCTCACCTCAGCAGTGTTTCAGTCAGTCTGCCTGTTCCCCACTCTGTCTCTGGTGAATCCTCTCACCCTCCTGCACATCTGGTCTGTACCCTGGTTCTTGTATGCATGAATAAATAAATCTTAAAAAAATCACAATCTATCTGCAATAAAAGCCATCATCAACCAGGAACTAGGGTAGAGGTGGGAGAAAACAATGTTAATAAAATATAAATTGAGCCCTGAAAGAATAATGTACTTTATTTTCAAGTAAAACATAAAGCCACACTGAGATAGCACTACACATCAATTAGAAAAGCTAAAATAAAAAAAAAAATGATACCGCCACAAACTGGTGAAGAGAAGAAGAAACTGAATCTCTCATATGTTTTCTCATATCTTGCTTGTGGGAAAGTAAAATGGCAAAAGCCGCTCTGGAAAACAGTTTGGCAGTTTCATATGAAACTGAACACACACTTTAAATCCAAAAGTTGCACTTTAGGACATCTTTCCCAGAGATATTAAAACTTATGTTTATACAAAAAAAGTACATGAATATTCATAGCAGTCCCTGGTAGCTATTTCTCCCAAGAGCAAAAAAATTGAAAACAACCCAAAAGTCCTTCAGTAGGTACATTATTGATTAAACCCACTCTGGCACAACTTTACCATAGAACACTACTTAAAAATAAAAATGGGACAAACTACAGATACATTCAAGAATTTTTATCAATCTCCAGAGAATTATGCTGAGTAAAAAAAAGACAGTATCATATATTAATGAAATAATTTATATAGCATTCTCAAAATTATAAAATTATATACCTATTGAAATGGAAAACATATTAGCAGTAGCTTGGCTTGTGTGAACCTATTAGCATAACATATATGATGATGAACAGTTCTGCATCTTCACTGCAGTGGTGCTTACACAAGTCCACATAAACACTAATCCAAATGTATGTTAAAAATGTTAAAATCTGAATGAGATCTGTAGTCTAGTTAACAAATACACCCATGTTAATGTTCACATTTTGATATTGCACTACAGTTATATAACATGTAACTTCTGGAGAAAGATGGGAAAGGAGTATAGGGAATACTATGTACCAGTTTTCTACTTACTATTAAGTCTAGTTTTTTTTTTTTAATTTAAAACTAAGGTGAAAAATTATGAAAGGATGCCAATACGTTAGTGAGCTAACAAAATATGACAAGCTTATTACATCATAAAGCATGTTATAAAATTCCCTGAACAACTCTGTAAGAATGCTTACAATCAAAAGTGGAAGGCATAAAACAGACTTTTTCTATTCATTCTCTATTTCACTGGCCATTTCAGAGGCAGAGAAAAGGTGGGGTCCAAATTTAGCATTCAACCAGACTGGAAATGTGTTTTTAGTGAGGAAAGCTTAAATGTTAAATCAATAAAATTCAAAGTATTGCAATTCTACATATATAAACAATAAAATTAATGTTTCATAAAATCTTTTCTCAAGTCATACTTAGAATAAGGGAATTTCCACTTATTTTAGAACTCTGCTGATAGAGGTAAGTTTGCTTCTTGAGAACAGAAACTAAGGAAGGATCAAAGGATTGAACACTAGTGCTGGCCTAGGCTCAGATTCTGGTTGGGAGAATTCTAAGAAGACAGAATGGAATAGTTGCTTTTCGGCTTACCTGGCCTCTACTTTAATCAGAACTTACAGGTCAAAGTAAATCAGATTTAAACCAAAATAAATCCAAATAGGCATACTTATCCCGAACTAAGAAATCTCAAAGATTCTAGAATAAGAATTGATAAACCCCCCCCAGGGTACTGGTATATTACTCAGACCAAGATCCAAGATGTCTTGTATTAAATGCTATTCTTTCTTTTTAGTTCATCTATTGGATTTCATTGGATCTCTAAACAAAGTCACGTATTTAACTATACACTAGTTATATTAATTGAGCAGTGATTTTGCACCAAGCAATTTGCTAATACTTTTACATATATTATCTCATTTAAGCCTCAGAACAACTGTACAATATGGTGACCATTATCTTTCCCATTTTTAATATGAAGGAACCCTGCTTTAGAGAGGTTAAATAAGTGTGCCCAAGGTTTACTCTGGAAACTGAACTCATAGCTTCACTCCAGATTGTTTTTTTTGTCAACTAGCCTAAAGAAGGAGAATAGAATTTACTCATTCAGTTAACTGTTTTTTTAAAAAAAGAGATTTATAAGGTAAGACATATGAGTCAGTACTAAAAGAATTTCTGAAAGAAAAACAGTCAAAAGACCTATCACATAGGTCTCATTTAAATTTTAAATCATTTAGTATGTTGCATTAAATGGCATCAAAATTTATCTCACTACATGGTAAGCTATAAATAAAAACTCACTTAGAAGTATGGACTCAATTAATCAGATAACATTAAGTAACAAGACATCATTTTAAGACTTCCCATTGCACTAAAATTATTTTATTAAATGTGAATGCCTGGAACTTAACCAGAGAGATAACACAAAATTTGGTATTTTGGGAATTTGTCTTGAGCCACTACCTAAGTATGCTTTGCTTTTTAAATCCAGTAGCAACATACACTTTGCAGCAATAAAATCTTAAAACAGCTATTAGAGTCAATGGCAAAGATTCCAAGGACAACCATTATACTGAGGCACCAGCAGAAGATTACATAAAACATCATGTTGTGAATTTTAAAATCTCAAGTATCAGTCCAACAAATCTGATCGAATGAATTTCTGAATTAAATTTAATGTCGCAGAATCTTTGTGTAGTATTCATTGAATCCCAACCTTGTAACATTTAGAAATTCCCTGCCACTTACTATAATTACTTGACAAGCTCAACTTATGTATACTAAACTCCATGTTTCAAAAAAAAATTATCATTGGAATTGCAAATATCTAAGTTTTGATGTTAACATAAATTTAAAGAGAATGTAGCTAATTTCCAATAATATTTCAGAATTTGTAAAGTTTAATGAGTGTCAGGTGAACTAAAACACAAGGGAACCACTTTCGAAGAAACCTAAATTATCAGGGCTAAAATTACCATTGTCAAATATCATCCCGATAATTCCTTTAGGTGTAGACCTGCTTGAGATTTTTACATTTCTTAAAATGTCATATGAAAAGTGAAAATGCCTGTATATGAAATTAAACCCATAATTGCTCATCAAAATGAGTTCCAGCCTTCTAAGAGTTCTGAATTTATTTACTAAGAACAAATGGAAAACTTACAAACTTTAGTTCACCATCAACACTAAACACAATTGGGTGAACATTACCTGTATCAGTCATTTCTGATCTAACTGGATATTTAGCAAAATAATCTCATAAAAAATGTTGAACCAATATAGCTCGCATCAATTTATATACCTAAATTTGTTATAAATTTAAAAGAGCATAAATGTGGAATTTAAAAACATTTTGAAAGAACACATCCTTTCAAAAACCAATAACCACAAAAACACTACTAGCCAGCTGAAGCATAAACAGCTGTACGCAAAAAAACTATGGCTTAAATAAGTAAAAATAAGTTGGTTCACTATATTAAATTCATTTTAGAAAACACTTTAAATTATACTATGAAAATACCAATTAAATATCTAGCCACAGTTCACAATTTTTTCCATTCCATTACTCCCAAATGACCATGGATAGTAAATGAAAATTTTACTTTCTACTGCTTAACATGTTTACATGAGTGTCTATGTGTATCTGTATGTATCTTTTCCCCAATTCGAATGAAAGCTATTCCAGAAATATGGTGTTTATCCTGTGCTTTCAGATTCACAGTGCTACTCTGCCATATGCCTCCAAGGGCTCTCAAAGTATAGCCTAAGACTCAAAACAAAAGTATTCTAAAACATTAAAAATAACACAACTCAAATGTCTATCAAATGATGACTGGATAAACAAACTGTAGTTTATCCATAATGGAATATTATTTGGCAGTAAAAAGGAATGAAGTACTGATATCCCTTACAACAGATGAAACTTGAAAACATTGCCACATGCCTCTGAGGTAGACACAAAAGGCCACATATTATAAGATTCAATGTATATCAAATGTCCAAAATAGGCACATCCATAAACAGAAATACCAGTAGTTGCCGGACTCTGGAGGTAACAGTAGTGGTGACTGTTGTACAACTCTATGAATATACTAAAAACCACAGAATTGTATACTTTAAAATGGGTGAACTGTATGGCATAAGAATTTAATCACAATAAAAAGAAATAATACAAAGCCATGTACACAGTATTTCAATATGCATGTTCTACTTCCCTAGCAACTAAAAGGAAATGAAGTGGTACGTGTAATAAGAGATCAATAAACCCTGAGGACATTGAAAAGGAACAGCAGAAGGAAGGTAAGAGCCCACTAAATATTCACCAGTACATTTTTTTTTCATCCTTTGAAAGGAAGCATGCTTTTCTTGATATCTGACAACTTCAGCAGAAAAGGGGATTTTAGACTTTACCAAATGTTACAGAGTAGGTAATATTTTGTATTAAATGGAGAAAATAATGGGTTCTTTCATTTTCAAAATATCTTATTTTAAAAGGTAAAAATTCAAAGTTGCTATATCAACCAAAACTTATTTATCATATGGAAGTTCAAGTGTTACAACATTCTAAAAAACTATCTCCAGCAAAGAATTCATAAGGTCATCTAAAATGTTTTATTGTTCATCCTTCCAGAATTTATTCCTGGACCTTTTCTTATCCTTATCACTTGTAATCATGTATAATCAACACACTCACTTCTGACTCTGAACAGAAGAATCAATCCATGATTCCTTTCTATTTCATCAATTACATAGTAATCTCAATTCCCTGCACATTCAGTCTTGATCTACACATTGTACCTTCATTCATCAAACTGAAATGAAATGCCCAGGAGGCTTACTACTGGAGAGGACCTTAAATTTTATCTAGTCCAACCAACTCATAAAATTAAGTTATTTGCACAAGCTTACTCAGATAGTTAATAGTTCTGCCAAGACAAGAATCCAGTTCTTCTGACCCTTATTAACTGTGGGCTTTATAACAGAAGACAAAATATCATATTCAAATATATTATCTGAAAACAGTAGCATCATTTTATTTATTGAGCAAATTATCAGCAGTTACAATCCCCTAATTTTAAATCTGATTTTCTGTAATGCCTCATATTTTCTGTTTACTTCTGATCCTAATTTACCATTTCTCTTCTCTATTAACACTCTATGACTTTTCAAATCTTATCACTTTGTTCTTGCTCCTTATACGTCAGATACATTTTCTCTTCTATAGTTCAGACTAACCCTGCCCAAATTGTTTTTGACTGTCAATAGAGTTTTAACAACTTCATCAAAATGATAACTGTTAAGAGGCTGCCAGAAAACTTGACCACAAAAGTGAGTCTTGTTTTTTTGAACAAGAAAAATAATAAAATGTTACTAGTAGCAACTTTCTGAGGCTATATTATCAGAATATAATTAATTGCCAAGTACATGATTTTTCCTATATCACTACTTCTTTGAATTGACTGAATAACTTCTTTTTCTACCTTTAACAATGTGAACTTAAAATGTATTTTAGAAAGCCAATTATATATTTCATGCATGTGAGAACTGAGGCAGTTATTTATCTAAATTGACTTTCTTCATTTCCAATGATATTACCACTATATTCAAATTTCCTTACCTCAAACTGCTCAACAAATTTTAAGACTGATTTTAAGTATATTATATCCACATAGTACTTTCCTTATAAAAAAATAAGCCCTACAAATATATTTTCTGAGCAAAAGAACAATTCATTGTAATTCACCCCTCTCTCAATATAGTTTTGATATTGAGGTATGTTCTGATTTTTAAGAAAGAAAAAAACATATAACAAAGAAAATGCTTTACCAAAATCCTGCATAATCATGGTATGGGCCATTCTAGAGTCTGATGTGTGCAATCCAAGACTTCCACAGCCTGAATCCATACTTAGCAAAGTTCATTCACAAATCTCTGTAAAAGAAATGATTTTAAAAATAGTTTAAATAAATTTAGGCCATAGCAAGTTGTTCTGAGGGGAAAAAAAAACACAGCAACTGAAAATATGCCTCTCAACCAGGTATGCAAATCTCGTTGCAAAGGAAATCAAACAAAAACCCTGGTTAGATGCATTATATGACAACCATAACTAAAAGAAAGGCCAAGTGGAAGCAAACTAAAGAACATGAAATAAGACACAATAAGGGTAATGAGCCATAGGGAAGCAACAGAAGCAAGCAAAAGAACAAAAATTGTAGTATTGAGATTCCAATTAAAATGTGGGTTATAAAAGAAGAAAAAGAACAAGATGACAACAGACAATAGTTGGGATATTTATACATTACTAGAGGGCTCAGGTGTCTAGTATTAGTGAATTTCATCCAGTGGCTCTCATCCATTTCTTCCAGACCCAGATCAGCCCTGCAGCGAAGCTCTGCAGATAAACTTGTGTTTCACCTCTGGCTCCTGGGATTCTACTTATAATGTAAAATGTTCTATCCCAGTTTCCCTGGAGTTCTTTGAGCCAGTAAGGACTTCTGGCCTCACTCTACTACATTCTCTTGTCTCACAGTTTTGAGGACTCATGAAACATGACTGCTTCCTAAATATGGTAGAGATAAGATGAATCACATACAAACATTTAGCAAATTGTTTCTTTCAGAATACCTTTTACTTGTAGTTGTACAACTGATTTTTTAATTAATGACTAATAAAGTCATTCTAGTTTCATGTAATTTTGAAAGCAATGACCCAACCTATTTCATTTCAAATGGCTTATCCTATATTTAAGATCAACAAGATAGTATGGAACCTAAAATTAGATGCTACTACTCAACACATTTCATACAGTTACATATGCGTAATTCCCCTGAAACATTAAGATTCTAAGAAAATCAAGTAAAAAAAATTGCCAATTTTATAAAGCATTTATCTCAAGTTTCTGTGAGAAGCATTTAATAAATTGGGTCATACTGCACAAAAGTTGGCTGCATCATTAATAGAAGTTTTAGAAAACTGCCATGTAAAGCAACTAATCTACCGTTTAAGTACAGGGTATCACTAAGAATTTTTTTTTTCTTGCCTTAAAGTTCTACAGATATAAAGGAAGGAGGAGAGTCCACCTCTACCAATATTTGGATGTGAATATAAAAATCCTACAACAGTATGTGAAATTTCTGTATCAAGCAATTCAGACAAAATTACCTTATGCAAGAACAAAATTACAATGAAAAAAAAATCAGTTGTATTTTCTCTTTTCATTTACTACATTGTTAATTGCCTTTAAATTAAGTTGAGAGACCAAGGGAATTAATAATAAATAGACTTCTGCTAACACAGGAAATTAAAATGCCATAAGCACTTACTTTTAGCTTTTAAAAATGTACTATTTCAACTTTAGAGAAACTACTTTATCAAATAACTAATAAAATAATTACAAGTATTGTAAAAATGCTTTGAACACTTAATTTTGTTTAACTATTAAATAAAAGGTTAAGTAATCTGTTAGTCACCTTAATGTGAGTGTCTTGAGGAAATTGTAGATTTTCTTAATATTGCAAATTAAATCTGTAGCGATTTCATTTTGTTAATTCTCTTTCTGAGCTATGTTATTTTCTCTGGGAAAGTGTTCTGTTTACCTATTGCAAAAACATTCAAAATTAGATATTTTAAAAACATTTTAAATCAAATCTTACACAACTTAAGAATTTTTCTTCACACTTTAACTTGAAGGGTGAGATAGGGAAGGATTCATATGCTCAAAACGGTTCATCGTAGGTCGCCAAAGGGATTCTAAAAGAAACAGCTACTTACTACAATATAAGCAACATTATTACACTTAGACCACTTGATCAAACCAAAACGTTTACAGCACATTTTAAAAACCACTAGCTACACCTTATTTTGGAAAATGAAAGAGAATCAACCAAGGGAGGCAAGCTTTATCTTTGCCAAATCCAGAGGAAAATCTACAATAGAGCTCAATGAAAGGAAAAAAATTAATTTAAATTTTATTTTTATATTCCCCATACAATTACAACCCCCTTATTTTGACCCCAAGCCCTCCTTTCCCTGCTCCCCACCCCCCATAGAGTGTCTCTGGTTCACAGTTGTTTGTTGATTTTGATATTTTCTTTCTTATAGTTATTGTTTTTCCTGGTCCCTTATTTAAGTTTTCTAGATTCCTGCTATGAGTGAGACCATCCGGTATTTTTCTTTTCCTGAAAGGTAAAAATTTTAATACACAGTGCAACTATTATGGGAAGCATCACACTGCCTGAATATAAATAAATTTGATAACCTCTTTCCCATATAGGAAGTTTAAATAAGACCATCAATAGAGAACAGCGTGTTAGGTATTCAATAACCAATAAACACTAGAGTTTTCAGTCTTCTCAAATGTATATTTCACATCCTTATTGAATGGAGGCAAACGCCAAATAAGCGTCACGTAAACATATTTCCATCCCTCTAAGGTGACCGGAAATCAACAACATTTTACTCTCATCTGGCTCTTCTAAACAGAGCTAAACATAGCTCATTCAGGACCTACTTAGCTTTTCGGTGATGTAAATATAGGGTGAGGGATAGAAAAGAAATTCTGAGGCGGCAGAACAAGAGAATGCGAAAGTAGTATTTGCAGAGATAGGAGACAAAGGAGCACTGGCAGTTAGCAGTATTGCAGCTTTGGACGCAACCCTCTTCCCGCATAAGTCTCCCTTTCCCAGGACCACGCCAACTTTCAGTCATTTCGCGCGGAAGGCACCCAAGTGCCCTTTCATATATTACCCATCTGATTGGATCTTAAAGCTGACGAGAACCTTCGCTGTGGCAAAGCAGACAGCGAAGAGACAAGAATACCCTTTCCCCTCCTCCCTCCCCTCACTTGGTGCAGCGGTCGCCACTGCTGCCACCAACACCGAGGAGCCCAACCCCTCAGCCTCCTCCGGCTCCCTCGAGCCCGCTACCTGTGAGAAGGTTGGGAACCAAAATGGTGGTGTTTTGGCAAAGGCGACAGCTGCCGCACACGGCCCACGGGCCCCCCACCCATCAGGCGCTGACGGATCCGTCTCCTCTAAAATGCCCGATTCCGGTGCCACTCCTAACAAACGCAGCCATCCCTCGCGAATTCCAAGGTTACCGTGGGCGGTGGGCGGGGGACCCGGGCGGAGGCGGGGGGGGGGAGAAAGGGGAGCGCGACTGAAAGGGATAAGGGGGGTTTCTGAGAGAAAATGTCAGGGGGACACCGCATTCTTCACTCCACTGTTTTGTTTTCCGCCATTTTCCGTCACCTTAAAACATCGACGGCCTTAACGAGAGCTCTCAAGGGCTCTAGCCTAGGGGAAGAGGGAGGCTGAAGGAAAACACTTGCCTCAATTCCTCCAGTCACAAGCGGCGGCTGAGGAGGAAACTGTCTGTCCGCCCAAGGGGGAGAGAAAGCTTAGGGACTAGACGCCACTTCCATTGTTCCCTTCGCCTTACACAGCACGCTGGGTGCGAGTCTCTCCTCCCTTCACACAACCGACACTAAGAGTGGGGAACCCAAGTCCCTCTACTTTCTCCTCAGGAGTCTCCTTACCTGCAAGCGCCGCCGCCTCTGCCAGTTGGACTCAGACCGCGCTCGAGATTTCTGCGGGGGGTGGGGGGGTTGGGAGGGGGGCGGCAGCTGAGGATCCGTAAGGTCCTCACATTCGGTTTCCGAGGTTCCGCAGACCGAGCCAATCACAAGCTACTCTGCGTCTGGGAGGCGCGCCGCCTCGTCCTCCTTTATATAGCTGCTGACATGCTGAGATTGCATTACGTCACACTACCCTTGCTGCAGGGTAGGGGGCCGAAGGGGGGGGCTCGTGTCTGCGCGCGCGCGCGCGCGCGCGCGCTCTCGGGAAATCTAGACGCTCGCTTTCGGATGGTGCTTGGAGACCCCGCCGACTTGCGGTGGAGGCTGCAGCGCTGGAGAGTCCAAGTGCGCAAGCCTAGATTTAGGCGCGTCCCTGAGGAGTTTCCATGGGAAGATTTTGTTTTCCAGGTTTCCCAAGGGAGATGAAGGGGGGATGGGGTGGGAATCAAGGACCGAGTAGCTACTCATTGGCTCCCTAATTTATCTTGGACTACGTTACGAAGAAGGCAGGCCAGAGTGATAAAGAGGTATGAGTTCCCACATTTAAAACCTACATTTTACAGTTTCCCTCCCTTCCTTCTGTGTTTCTTAATGATAGACTATATATATGAAGAAAGTAGAGTGAAGACAGGCATGGGATGGAATGGTAGACAGGGGACCTAAATAAAGTGAACACTAAATATCTCTTGAATGTGTCACTTTCAGCTTGTGTCTGCATAAAATGGGAGAACAGTGAGAAATTAAGTAGTAATGGGTGGGGAAACAAACTGATAATGTGACTAAAAGGTTGTATTTATAAAGGCCCTTATATTTTCAAAATTTAGCTTTCGAATCAGAGTTTACGCAGGGAAAGGATGTGACCCTTAAAAAAAAAAAAAACCCTCATTACCTGTGCTAAATAATTTCAATATTTTACAAAGAAAACATGTTGGTCTTGATTAACTTGACAATTTCTGTCACCTAGTATACCACCATAGGTTTTGAGAAAGTTAGAGGAGACAGGGTATGAAAGCCCTAGCAAAATACCAAACTTTCTCTGTACAGACAGATAGCCCAAAAATCAGCCATAGACAGTATGAACACAAATGAACATGGATGTTCCAGTATAACTTTATGGAAAGTGACATTTGAAATTTATGTCATTTTAACATGTTATGAAAAATTATTCTTTGATTTTTTTCAACTATTTGAAAATGTAAAAACCTTTCTTAGTCAAAGACGTTCAAAGAATAGGCAAGCATACAAATTTGGCCTATGGGTTGTAATAGATGCTATTTATTTGCACTTTTATTTTCCCTCCTAGGTGACTTTATTTCCATACATGATGTCATTTTCTATATTGAAAACCCTAGCAAAGTATCTAATAAATACTTGAAAAAAAATCTCCCATTGGCAATTGCAATAGAAAATTTCTGATGAAAGAAAGCCGAAAAAGATGTGAGGTTTTTACATAAATCACCTTTGTGTAGGGTACATTGTGGTAGATAATTTTTTAAATCTGAAGATCATCCTTATGCCTCTCTCTACAAACATGTGATCAATTAAAATGTCCTGAGAATTCGACTTTTCCTAATTTCTGTGGAATTCACCCTTCCACCCCATTCCTTATGTCATTTACCTTGTTAGGGTCACATCCATTTTTCCCTGGATTATTGCCACATCTAACTAGTTCCTCTGTATCCATTTGTTCATCAAATCCTGAAATCAGAAATCACCAAATCAGAAAAATATCCCAAATCATGCCTCCCCACTGCATTCTCACTCTAATTGAAACCCTGAACAAATGGACTGTGCAATAGCCTCTTGACTCATTTTTCTGCTAAAAGTCTCTCGTCCCTCCACCAGATATTTTTTACAATGTAGATTCTACACCACCACCACCACAGAAATCACTTGCAGTCCCCTGCTTAAACGTTGATATCAGTTGTCACATGAGTCAAGGTTGAAATTTGGACAAGGACAGTTTCTCTATATCTGCCCCTGCATTTACAATTATCTCTCTCTCTCTTTTTTTTTTTACTTCAACTGGTCTAATAGATATGTAGTGATATCTCATTGTGATCTTAGTTGTATTTGACTGATATCTAATGATATGAAACATCTTTTCCCGTGCTTATTTGGTGTAATCTCTTTGGTGAAGTGTCTGTTCAAGTTCTATGTCCATCTTCTAATATGGTTTTTCCTTATTGCTGAGTTTCAGAGTTTAATATATATAGTTGATATATATATATATATATATATAGTAGACCTTTTTTAGATATGTGATTTGCAGATATGGTCTACCTATTGTCACCTGTTTTTTTTTTTCTTTTTCTATACAGTATCTTTGGCAGAGTAAAAGATTTAATTTTGATGAAGTCCAAATTTACCAATTTTTTCTTGTATAGATTGTCCTTTGGTGGGGATTCTAAGAATTCTTTCCTAGTTTCCTCTTACACACATGTTCTATTTTTTAAATAAATGTTTTATTGTTTTAGGTTTTACATTTATATCTATGATCTACTTTGAGTTAGTGTTTTTATAAAGTGTGAGACTTAAGTTGTGGTTCATTTTCATGCATATGGAGGGCCAGAGTTTCCAACAAAATTTGTTAAAAAGACTATCTTTTCTCCAGTGAGATTTTGCACCTTAGTAAAAAATCAAGTGACCATATTTATGTAGGTCGATATCTGTCCTATTTTTTAGGCTCCATAGATCTCTGTATATATATCCCTTCACCATTGTCATACTGGCTTGATTACCTTTTCAATATATCCTAAAAT